ACCCGACTATCCACAGGGCCGAGGTGGGGGCGTTTCTGCTCACTAATCCGGCCCAGCATCACTTGGGGGATCCTTTCCAAGCCAGCTGCTCCCCACCCCACGGGGAAGCTCCCTCTCCTTGGGGAGGCCAGCAGCAGGCCTCGCGCGGCCCCGCCGGGGGGCTAGTTGGCTCTGTAGACGTCCTTGCGGTGCCGCACCTCCTTCAGCACCCGCGCCCGGAAGCTCTCCCAGTCCTCGTTGCTCAGCGGCTGCAGGCCCAGGGCCCGGTGCAGCTCCCGGCAGTGGGTCCGCAGGAACGGGTTGTACTCCTTCTCCTCCCTGATGGTGGAGGGGCACTGGGGCGGGGAGAGAGGGGGGTGGGTCAGCCCAGAGCCCTGTGCCCTGCACAGAGCTGCAGGCCCTGGAGACTACCCATCCCAGCATGCAATGCACGATCTGCAGCAGAGAGGGGCATGCTGGGATGGGTAGTCCCTAGGGGCTGCTCTGTGCTGTGAAGGCGGCAGGGCGCACTCCACGCTGTGCTCCCCAGGAGTGGCACCGCGGCCACCCGTTTGCACCCAAGCTCCATGACGCCGCCACAATTTGCATGACTCCTCCCGCTGCTTATACCCAGAGACCGGCTCCTCTGCTCCCGTTTCAAAGCCATTTCCCTCACACCCACATGCGCCACTGTAGAGCTACTGAAATGCAGCTGCCTCTGGGGAGGGGCGTGGCAGCCACACATAACAGCAGGCTGCTCCGACACGCCGAACAAGTCCTGCTTGAAACCCAGCGAGGTGAGTTTCGGGAGGAGGAACGGAATTACCCAGGCACCCGCTGCCTTCGCGGGGTGCAGTGACACTGTTGGGGGGTGCAGGGGGAGCTAGCAGTGCTGTAGCATGCGTGGGAGGGATCGACACCTGCTTGCCGAGCCCAGCCCTTGCAATGCCGGGGCTCCCAGCCTGCCGGCCACATGGCGAGGGGTTAACACAGCAGCACACAGCTGACCCCAGATGGCCGCTCCCTGGCCTTGCCCGATGCCCTGGGTTCCAGTTCCGGCGGGCGGGTGGGGATTCAAACCGCCCTGCTGCCGGGCAAGGAAGCAGCTGGATCCGAGCAGCAGCGGAAGCAGCATGTGCATCTGGCCAGGTGTTTCCCAGCCCCGGCGCAGGGAGAGAGGCGAGAGCCAGGAAGACGGGCCCCAGGCCCGGTCGCCCCCGCTACTCACCGTGCTCCTCTTCTCCAGTCGCTGCTGCGTCACCCACTGCAGCTTCTGCTCCAGCACCGGGTTCTCCGGCTCCAGCAGGCTGGCGAACATCAGGCACTCCTGGGCGTACTCGTGTCCTGGGGAGCAGGGGGCAGCAACCGGGGAGAGGGGCTGGGGTGAGCCCAGGGCCCCTCGGGACATTCCCGACTCTCTGGGGACCTCGCACCAGCCCTGGGCCCCTTGGGTCCCCTGCAGCCAGCTGGGAAGTTTAGCTCTCAGGAGCCACGGCACCAGCGCTGGGGACGCCCCTCAATCCCAACCAGCCCCCCCCAACCCAGCTGAGCTCCTGGCCTGCCCGGCAGGGACGCCATCTGGTGCAGGGACCCCCCTGTCTCCCCATGCGGGGCAGAGGGCCCCCCAAACTCATAACACTGAAATTCAGGCTGGCTCCTGCCCCCGCAGCTCGGCATGGCTGGGGAGAGGCCCCTGCGCCTGTTTCCCCCAACCCCCAGCGGGCACGCAGCCGCGGGTGCAA